ACACACAGCTGTGTGTGTAGAATAGGTGTCAGTTTTTGTTGTTGTTGCTCGGGCTAACTGTTATTTGGCGCAAAAAGAAACCCGTTCCGGGGCAAGGTAAATATTTATTTCACAACAAATATTTTCAATGCACCCCAACGACAAACGAGACGCCAAAAGCAGCTCAATAAATCAGCTGTCATTATCATTTTTTATGGACTTATTACCTTATCAATCAGTTTTTTTATGTGTGTGTGAGTGTGTGTGGGTGTGTGTGTGTTTGTGTACGTGTACCTCTACAGGAAATGCAAAGAATTTCAAACTTCTTGTGACAAATGCATTTTTGGTCGTTCGGAGACAAACAGCTGCAAATTTTCGAGGCGCACAAAAACAATGCACCTAGACATATTTGCCATATTTTTTATTTTCATTTTTTAACTGCCCAGCCCATTTCCTGTGACTCTTGAAATAAAACAAAAACGAGAAAACACAAAAAAAATTGAATATTTATTTAACGGCCAGCGTGAAAAAGTACTGTAAGTTGATTTCAACATTTCAGCTGACCAGTCCAAAGGCAAAGTTTAACTTATTTTTACCATTTTCATGTGCTGCCCGTTGTGCATAATAACCAGCAAGTGTTCTAGCCATAAGCATGCACAACTATGGGTTACCCTATAAAAATTTGAAAATATCATCAAATTGACAACAAGTCGAATAAACACCGGAAAATAAATTATTTCAATTCCAATTCAATTATGCTTGAAAAATGAAAAGGTTTCTTAGGTAAACTATAAATAAATTTTGTCTAAAAAAATTTGATATCACAAATTATTTATGTTATGTGTATTAATTATATATAGATCAACTAATAATAAAAAGAAGGAGAAATAAAGAGAAATATATAATGTCTGAATAAAGTTAAATTGCAAAATGATAAAAAGGTAAAAGAGTTTTCATATTAACATTTTGAGGTCCTGTAAAATATGAAATAAACTAACATGAAGCGTAAAAAAGCCTGTTTGAAAGCAATTTAAGAAAATTCTACATTTATCGGAAACCTAAATAAAAATGGCAAAAATATGAGAGAAAACAAGTTTAAAAGAAAACAACAATAAAATATATATGAAAATATAAAAAAATGTTGCTCAAACATAATACTATTAAATATAAGGATAAGGATGAATGTTTCAAAATATAAAAAAAAATTAATATTGGAAGAAAATTATGAAATAATATATTCTTAGTTTATTATTTACAAATTGCATGTTCCAATTTTTTTTTTTTAATTTTCATACATTTTTGTGGAATTTACTTTATTATTATTTAAAATGAAAGGCTCCGAATGATTTGAACAACAAAATAATTCATAAATTTGCCTGTTAAATTCTCTACTATAATAATTATGACTACTAAGCTATTCCAAGCACAACTTAGCTTCTTTGCTAGCCTGTTACAAACGCACTACGTAACTAGTATACCCCATGGCAAGCGATTGTCGAACAGGGTGCACAAAGCTGAGCTTCTGCGGGGCATTATAAAAGAGCGAAAGCAAAACGCAAAGCGCAAACGAAAGAACAACACAAGAGACTTTGTAAGTAATATGTATGCTGAAAGCACAATAAACACATGCCGATGGCTGGAGAACAAGCAGGGGGAGGGGTGGATAGAGAGGGGGAGAGGGGGCAATGCGAATACGCTGAAGTCGGCGCAAATGTGTAAGACGAGTCCGGGCCCCAACCTGAGCAAATCACGCCGAACCGTATATCGAGTGGGGCAACAACTGGGCAAAAAGATACTTATGCACAGCAGCAGATACACACAGATACATTTACGGATACAGATACAGATACAGATACAGATACATTGGTGTAGAGCGTTGCACACTAAGTGCACTCAGTGAGAAATCAAATGCTGAGGCAAGCCGCTAAATTGATTATGGCTGCAAGTATTTTCTTTTTATTTTTTTTGTTGCTGCTTGCGGCGGGGCGTGGCAAAGGGGAGGAGGCGCCCCCAATTGTGTGGCACTTGCACTTCCGCAAATTGCAGTTAATTAAGCAGCAGCAGCAACCGCAGCAACTGCAACTGCAGACGACAGTTTGTCAGGCCACATAATTCAGCTGGGGGCAAAACTAATTCTAAGCGCGGCTACGGGTCAGAGTTCAGCTAATTGCCGGCTGACAGTTTAAAGTCAAAGAACCTTTAAATTAACGCGACCGCCTTCAAGTGTGTCTGAGTGTGCGTGTGTCTAGATAAGAGAAAAACCTAAAAGAAATGTCAAAATTGTTTAAAATTAATGAGAGAAATGTACGACTCTCGGATACTGGAATCATTTTCAAAAGAAGTAATGAATAGCTGTCACATATAATTACATATACACGCGCACAGATTGATAGGGGGGCATTCCTCTAGATAGCTAGATAAAAGACTTTGAAAACTAGTTGAAAAGTTTTCAGAGAACAGAAATGAATGCTTATCAAACTGTAGATAGATAAACTAGACTAGTTTTCTGGAGACAATAAACCAAAAATGAGAAGGTAAGGTAAGATTTTATATCCTTTTAGAGATTTTCCTTTTGTAGATATTTGAGCATAGTGTAGCTCGTAAATACTGAGTTGAATGAAAATGTCTTGGAAAACATTGGATTAGTTTCCCATACAAAAAATCATTTCTTGAAGTATAATATTGCGATATTGATAAGATTTAAATAGTTTAATCCCGGGTTATTACAAGATATTATGAAATACAAAAAAGTTTCTTATACAAAAACCTAATTTACGTCCGATCGTTCTATGGCAGATATATGATATAGTGTTTCGATCCGTCCGCTGCCGAGATGTGGACGATACGGACGGACGGACAAATCTATAACTCTCTCAACTCGGCTGTTGATGCTGATCTAGAATATATGTATATACTTTATGGGGTCGAAGATGTCTTCTTCTATGCGTTACACATTTCATGACAAAATTATAACACCTTCTATAAGGGTATAAGAGTGCTTGGTTGTCTAAGGGTCACTTAGGCAAACAAAGATCCGGACCCAAAATAATGCTAGATTATGGACATAGTATAATCTGAGTCAAAGGCGCCTTGAAAGTTTAAAGAATATGTTAGGGAAAAACTTTACGAAAAATCTGCCAAAATTGAAGACAGGCAAAAATGTAAATTTTACGATAGTTTTTTCTACATTTTAGACAACTTTTAAAAAGCAAGAAAATAGTCTAAAATGATTAAAATGTTTCATTGCTTTGCGTTTAACTAAAGTAACTTAGTTAACAATATTTTTTTTAAGTGTAAACACTTGAGTTTTGCCGCCACTCTCGTTTGGCACTTTCCATTTTAAAAGACCGCAGCAAACAGTTCACAATTTTCTAGTCTATGGAGCTTGCCCCAAAGGCAACCAATTACCAGCTACAACGCGACTAATGATAAATGACAGCGAGGCATAAACACAGACACAGACAACAACATCTACAACAACAACAACAACAACAACAGCTGCTGCTTACACATAATCTGACAATCAACAAAAATTCTCTACACACACACATAATTAAAAGTACGTTTTTTTTGTATTTGTGTGCCACGCTTTCGCTTATCAAAGATCTTAGTGCCCCATCAAATCGATCAAAAGCTGACATCCGCTGCAGTTACAAGCACCGCCCCCTTTCCTCTCCCCCCTCCACCCCTTGCCTTTTAGACCCACTCCAGCGTATCTGGAGCTGCATCAGCTGCATTTCCGTGAAATGCGTCGAGCATGTGCATCTTCAATGGAATGCCTTTGTTTAAGCTGCTGCTGCTGCTTCTCCCTTCCCCTGCTCCCTGCCACGCCGCTCTCCCCCCCGCCTACCTGCCCTTAGCTACTCCAATCTGAAGACGTGACTCATCGGGTTTTTATTACTGTTTCGTCTCTTACGAGATTATAATATGCTCTTGCGGTGCTTCATTAGATTCCGATTCGGTTTGGGTAATTTGATAGGGTCAGTGATTGGGGGCATGCATTTAATATCAGTTGTCGTTTAATATATATATATATATATATAAAAGTATTCATTTGCTATACCCTGTAACAATTAAACTTGGGCATATTGACTGTGGAAAAGACTATTGAATAAAATCCCGGTTGAGTCAAGACAAGTTTTTTTTATATGCTATAAAAGCTAGTTACATTTTATGTTTTTAATATGGGATAGTTTTTCCCATTTCACGTAAATCAATAAGGTCGACAAAAACCTCATGTTTCAAATTATCGATATATTGAGCCTTAGCTGTAAAGTCTAATGTGTCAAATTATCGATATTTTTCTTTTACCTGAAATCGATAACGTCATCATCATCCTCATGTTGCAATATATCGATAGTTATTCCATTCAACAGAATCGATAACAGCCACATGTTGCAAGTTATCAATTATCTCTAAAATCGATAACAACCGATTTTTTTTTTGTTGATATTTTTAATATTTCCCAGAAGTCGATAACCACCTCATGTTGCAAACTCTCGATAACTCTTGCCATTTCGCTGAAATCGATAAATATCGATCAATTGGTTGTAAGCTCAACTGACATGTGATTTGTGGTGTATTTGCTCTATGCTGTGTATTAAATTTTTTCATGCCAAAAGAAAGATCTGAAAATTGTATAAAAATCGGACTAAAAGCTTCAAAGTTATTAGGGAATGCTTTTACTATAACGCGAAGCTAGGGGAAGAAGCTGCTAAAAGAAGTTCAAGGTTTAATTTCCTAAACTATAAGGCTGAGGGTAGAGAAAGCACATCATGCTTATTTGTTCTTTTATGCATGAATCAAACAGGAATGCTTGTTACAATAGTTTGTGTTGGTTACAGGGTACCTCATAGTCGAACACTCTCCACTTGAACACTCTTACTCAGTTTTTATGACATATAATCAAGCTTGGGAGCTGCCACTTTATGGCCAAGCCATCAAAATGTGATTAGAGCGAGCCTTAATAACTTAAGCATCTCCTCTTTTAACCGCTCTCCCCTTTCTTTCTCCCGTTTCAGTTTGCAAGGAATGGCTCGTGCGTGAGGACGGCGCCCTGGCCTACAAGCTGCAGTCCCAGGAGAGTAAGTGCTTTGGCCTTTCATATCATTAGATTGCATTTTAATTCTTTCTATTCTCTCTCTCTCTCTCTCTCTCTCTCCCTCTGTCTCTCGTCAGTTAACGACTTTTATAAGGGCAATCGCTATAGGAACGCGGTGGTGCGCGAAGATTTCCCCACGGCTCTGCATGAACAAATCAAGGAAACGGAACAGGCCCAGCGTCAGGTGGAGGCCTACAGAAGACGCCTCACCGAACAGTAAATATTTAATGCACATTTTTTTTTCCATATTTTTTTAATTTCTCTTTTTTTCTGGCAGGGAGGAGCACGACAAATGCATTGCCAAAGAAATTGCCGACAAGCTGGAACGCGATCTGCAGGAACAGCAGCAAAAGGAGCTGCAGCAAAGCGAGCTAATAGCACAGAAAATGCAGGTGCGTTCACAGAGATTAGGAAGGAAATCTGGAAAATTGAGAATTAAATGGAATATTAGATAGATGCGATGCATGAAAGCTATTTGGGAAACTCTTCCAGTCGTATGGGGTTACTTAGATTGCAAAGCGTATGATAAACAAGACTGTAAAAAGGTTATGAGCCATACTAAATTGAACCAGAAACTTCACTTTTTAGAATTAGTTGATTAATCCAAATCTGAACCAAGTAATTAGAAAATAATTATTTTCTCTCTACACATGAAGAAAGATGAATCTAGATAAGAACCATAAACTTATGAATCTAGAATATAGAAAACTAGGCTTACAAACTGAACCTAAGACCGAGGCATTGGTTCAAATCGAATAACTGACAATTATTGTTAGGTAGAATGAACTTAGGAATTGTCGCGTTTATTCAGTTAAATCCAATCTGGAATATATGTTCCCTGGGGATAAGGATATCTATATATGTGTACAAATCCTATATGTTTACAAATTTAAACAAAATTGTGTTTCTTTTTTGCCTTGAATTAATATCCCGGACCTCGAGCCATTATGTATGTTTAAGCATTATAACAGTAAGTTATCTGGCGTAGTTTCAGCCAATTGCAGTCTACTGTAGTTGAACCGGCGACCTCACGCTTGCTAGTTCGACGCACAAGCTCCAAAGCCTCGCAGGCTGCATAAATGTTCAGGCTGTGTTCTCCTGGTATAGGGTATTACAATGACTTTGCTGCTGTAATATTTTGGCTCTTATGAATATAGAATTTAAAATCTCTCTCTGCATTGCAGGAAATCTATGTGAATCTGCCGCCCGTGCCGCCGCCAGCAACGCGGGACAAGAGCCGCCCGCCGCCGCGACCAGCCAAAGCAAGTATACGCCAGCAACAGCTGCAACTGCAGCACGAATCGAATGGCAGCCTTGAGCCCAGCACCTCACAGCAAGCTAGATTTGTCAGTCAGCAACACTTTTCACAAACAGACAACTATGTAGGACTCTCGCTTATACCAAATATTGTTGATATGCCAGCAACAGCAGCAGCAACACCCACTAGACTACACAACACACATGCACCACACAATCAGCTGCTGTTGGTGAGTGATGCTGAGCACGCGGCAACAACAGCAATAACAGCAACATCAACAGCAACAACTACGGCACGCCAGCAACACGCACATCAATCAGCACGTCGCCAAGCACCAGCAGCTCCATCCACATTGCACAGCACCATCACATCCCAGCACACGACACCTACACACATCAATCATGATTGCGCAGCTGACGGCGCTGAGCTGGTGGATTATGCCGATGTTGCTGACAGCATACGCGCAGCAGCAGCAGCAACTGTTGCCGATGCTGTGATGCCGCCTCAGCGTTCAGCCTCACACGAGAACTTACTGCGTACCGAACCCAAATTTCAGAAATTATCGCCAGAGAAGTACGATCAAATGGTGGGCAACTTTGCGCTGGGCAATGCGAAGGCCGCCGAGCGGCACATGCAGCAGCACGCCGACGACATTGAGCTCTACGTGGATCCCTGCGATTATGCCAGTCTGCGCGAGATTGGACTGCCGCCCGAGGAGCTGCACGAGCTGAGCAAGAAGCTCAAGCAGGAGCAGAAGGATGAGGTGCAGTTGGAATATTGCCTAAACATGCCCCATGTCATTCATGTCCTTTCGTTAATTGCAGCTGCTGGCGCGTCGCCTGCAGGCGATCGAGAGCAAGGATAGCGTGCGGCAGGAGATACGCGATCGCATGCTGGCCATCGAGGCGCAGGACAAGGAACTGGCCAAGATGCTGCAGGAGCGCGTAAGTTACCTTAATTAAATAAATTAAGTATTTTTTGGCGATGAGTAAAAAAGGTTAACCGTAAAAATGTTTCTTAAACTGACATAATTTAATATCCTTTATGATCTGCCAACTTAATTCGTAGTACGGAAAAAATATATTCAAATTAAGGAAACAAAAAATTTCTGCAGCTAAGGTAATAAAAATCAGATTTATCTCTGCCTAGATAAGATAAGATATGTCGCCTGATGATGCTAGCAGCAGCTGATCATGTCAGTCAAAGCTAGTTTTCTTACCCTGAAACTATTGAACTTAATCGATAAATATCGATTTTTAGATGAGACTTCTTTGGCCAATTTGGAACTTATAAGAGCTAGAATTCACACATTTTCTAGGTTTCCACTAAAACGAAATATAAACTCATCATTCCATTTAAATTGAAAATCGGATGAGAAGTGACTTATTTATGGGAGTGAGAAATTTCGACTATGTCTATATAGGATATTTAAGGCAACCATTTTCACATGAATTTTGACCAAGAAAAATGTTGCCAGATTTAGATGCCAAATTGATCTAGAGGCAAAACCATGAGCAAAGAGTCAAACCTTATGAAAATCGGTTGAGCTTTGACCGATTTTTGGGGGTGGGAAATTTCGACCACTGTCTATTTAGGATATTTGAGGTATATAAAACTGTTTGTCGTGACTGGCTGACTGACTGACTGACTGACTGATTGGTTATCAACGCTCAGGCCGTGTAAGAGCTAGAAAATTTTAAGTGTAATTACCTTATGTGATGAAGGTGCTCGTTAAGACGGGATTTCGAGAAATTACACCCACATGTCTGGAATGGCCTGTTTGTACATACCTGCATGCATGCATGTTTTCTTTATATATATGCAAACATGCATGCATGCGTACATGTATGAATGCATGCCCGCATACCTACATACAGCCACACATACAAACGTACATATATGCAAACATACATACATATGTACACACCTACACATGTACACATGCATGCATACACATACATATGTTTGTGTACATGTCTGCATATACATGTATTCATGTTTGTATATATGCATGCATGCATACATGGATGCATGCATGCATACATACATGCATACATACATACATACATACATACATACATACATACATACATACATACATACATACATACATACATACATATATACATACATACATATATACATACATACATACATACATACATACATACATACATACATACATACATACATACATACATACATACCATACATACCATACATACCATACATACCATACATACATACATACATACATACTTACATACTTACATACTTACATACTTACTTACATACATACATACATACATACATACATACATACATACATTTAAGTGTATATATGCACGTACATATAAATATGCATAAAAAGCAAACACCAAAAACAAACACAAAAAAAAAACTCCAAAAAAACACCAAAAAATAAAACCAAAAAAAAGGCTAGCTTAGCATGTTAACAGCAGAGCCTACTTGAATTCTTGAGAATCGAGGAGGAGAGCACTTTGCAGAAATTCGGTTTATTTAAATTTGCAGCACAGCGACAAATAAGTTGGTATTAGAAAACAAACATACATGCATACACTAACACACTAACACGCCCACACACACACACATACATACACACACACAAACATATATGCCTTCATATAAAATACTTCTATTATTATATAATTGGTATATAAAAGTATAATTAATTCCAAATATTCCATAGTACATATATTTAGTATATCTATAGTATATGGTATAAAGCATATATATATATATATATAAGAGTTCAACTAGTTTTTAACAATATCTTAGTTAGTTAACATATTCATCTCTCACTATATAATAAGCTTATAGCTAGATAAATTATTATAAATTTAATTACAATTTTTCGTATTATAGCACCCAAATTTAATTTCATGTTTATTTGTTCATTAATCATATTTGAATCCGTTCGCAGGAGAAAGCCAAAATGAAGCGCGCCAAGGAGAAGGCGCGCCTGCGCAAATCGCAGCAGAAGGAAGCAGGAGCTGGCGGCGCAGCTGGCAACGGGGTAAATAGCCTGCTCTGCGGCACGAACGGCTCGCATTGCGGGCCGCTGCTGGCGCTGCCACAGGACTGCCTGTCCGTCGCACAAGCGCCAGACGATATCGATGTGGAGGCCTATTCGAATCCCATAGATGTGCTCAACAGCAGTCGCGAGCAGCGCCAGCCCAATGGCACCCTGACTAACGGCAGTCTCGGGCGGGACAGCGGCTCCTCGCACGGCGGATCGATGCAGCGGCAACAGCGACAGGCGGCGGCTGCGGCCAGCAGTCTGACACGCGGCGAGGATGACATCTATACGCTGCCCGTGGACAGCTGTCGGCCGGGCGGACACGGCGCTCAGCGGCCCATCTCGCTGCACCTGGCCGCGGAGTCCGTGCAGCATAATTCCATGACGCGGTGAGCACTTGAATTATTAACTCCATTCAAAGTTGTCCTTTAAAACTCCTCTCTTTTGCAGTTCGGAGCACTTTGGCTCGGAGGCGGGCTCCCATGACAGCACGCTGTCCAGTGGCCACGATGTCGGGCCGCATCTGAAGTACTCCAAGTCCGGCAACTTTGGTATATATGTATTTAAACGCCTCACTAAAAACAATTGCTTTATTTATTAATATATTTTACTGTGTAGATCAAAGCGCCAGCCCCACGCCGCCTTATATGCCAATTCAGGGTACGCGCCGATCGAATTCAAGTGAAGATCGTAAAAAGAAACTGAAGGACAACAAGTGCACGCATCAGTGAAGCAGGAAGCAGCTGCTTCCTTATTTACTATTATTAATTATTTTCTCAAAAGCAATGCAATTGTTCAGCTCACATCAACTTTCATAGACACACACAACTATAATTTTTAATTATAAACGTAGCTTTTGCATAAGCTTTATTGTAATCCCTGTTGTGCATGGTATCAGATAACAGATAACAGATAATAGATAACTCAGTTATGGGTTTAAAATAAATGTTTGTTAATAAGTCAATTGAATGAGTTTTGTTTTTTTTTTTTGGCTGAAAGCGCAAGTAGCATCAGTTGTAGCTAGAATATAAGAATGATTATTATTGGGATTATTATATACTTAGGTGATTTTGCAACAGAATAGGAAACCCAATCGAATACCTTGATATAAACATTAGGCTAGAATACTTTTATCGTTGCTTGACGCTTTAAAACTGAGAGGCTGCTTTGCATAGAAACCGACAGTGACTCGATTACTGATACTGATCAAGAATATATATGTACATACTTTATGGATGCGGAGGTGAATAGTTCTGTGTGAGATTAGATCGCTCTATGCAAGGTGAAAGAGGTCCTAAGATACAGAATATTCCTTATGTCTTCCAAAGGAAGACTCCTGCATTGGTTTATAAATGCTATCAAAAACTATAAAGACCTATAATGAACGATAAAGTAGATCTAATACCCTTTTAAGTATTTACCTTTTGTAGATATGCGAGCAAAGTGAAGCTCGTTAATGCTGAGTTCGATGAAAATAACTTGGAAAACAGAATATTTTTCCATACAAAAACTCGTTGTTCGACCGATTCTTCCAATAGATAATAAAGTAATCCAATATTAATAAGATTTGGCTCATTTGAAAGCAGCATGGTTTAATAATCTAATTAATCCCGAGCTTATCTTGATTAAGTTTTTTAATACAAGAGCCTACATTTCGATACATTGAAATCAACGATATATTGATCCGATGTTTATAAGATTTTGATAAATAAATATGAGAAGCATAGGGAAACTGTTGAGTTTGATCGAGATATCTTGATACACAAAAAAGCTTTCCATGAAAGAACTTCATTTGCGACGTATCGCTATCGCAGCTATGGATATAGTGCTCTGATCCGTCCGATTCCGAGATATGGATGATACGAACAAATCTATATATTTATCAACTCATATGTTGATGCTAATATAGAATATATATACTTTATGGGATTGGAAATGTCTGCTTCTACACGTTACACAGTCTATGACAAATTTATACTACCCTCAACAAGGATACAAAAATGCAAGGATATAAAAACCTTAATTATTATGAACTGTCAAAAATCTCTAAGGTGCCGTAATCTGAAATTGATGAAATTGATTGATAATGTGGACTTCTCTTCTCTGACAAAGCAAGAGCCAACATAGATTTTTATAATAGATATATTTTCTACAATCTGATCTGTAATTCGAATACATAAAAATATACATATTAATTAATCTTTTGCTGTTCGCTGAGAATCGTAAATTGAACTTAAGTTTGGAGATTAAAGAATAGTTATACTCACAGTAATATTTTTCCAATTGCGGAACATAATAACAGATCATATAATCCTGAATTATCCATTCCATTTACATCTTTCATCTTTTCTTGGAGCTAAACAAACTTTCGAATATGAATAAAAGCAATTTTTTTGTGAAATTCCTTGATAGATATTTTCTCAATTATTTACCAACCCTTAATGGAATTGCCAACAGTTCGGAATGTTCGTAGTTCTTTGTTGTTTTTTATTTTTTGTTACTAACATCAGCAAGTTTGCGTCCAATACCGGAGATCAAAACTTGTGAAACTGGTATTAAAAGTCACAAGTTAGGGTCTCAGGGAATCAGCCATACAAACATTTGCACATGTCACTAATACCAATGTGTAAAATGATGCAACTAATATTAATTTAGTCTAATGAAACACTTTAACACGCACACGCACACACACACACACACACACATTGTATGGCTGGCTTTGAGTGTGTGTGTGTGTGTGTTTGGGAGGGGTTGGGTTGGTTTTCTTTGCGGCTTATAGTCAAGCAAAGAAAGCTAGCACGCTGTATAGTATGCTTAATGAATACTACTATACAACCTACTACCTCAATTTGCCAGAGAGAAAAAGGTCCTTGGTGTAGTCCTTTTTGCTTGCTTGGTTTTGTCGTACGTTTTAGTATTTTCGATTTGTCATTATCTGCATTTGATTTGTTTTACGTTTCGGGCAAATAAATATTATAAAATAAATAAATTGTAGAAGAAAGAAAGTTATTTGAAATAAAATATTAAATTAATTTAAATCTTTTTATGCGCTTTTTGTGAGTTATATTTTCTTATTCGTTGCGTCTAATTATTTCTATAATAAAGTTGTTTTTCGGCAAACGAAATATTTTGAATGCATCTGCGAGCAAATCAAATTTAATTTTATTAAATGATTTTGAGCTCGGAAAAACTGCTTTAAATAAATCTTGAATCGCTTACGATGTTTTTTTTAATATTTCAATACAATCTTTTAATCTTTTATAATCGAAACCTTTTCAAACGAGTTTTAAAATTGATTTAGAATTATCAACAGAATTTATAAAAAATGTTTATTCATATATTAAAAATTCTCATTTAAATGAATTGAAAGGTTTTTAGTAAACGATTAAAATGATAATATATTATGTGATTATAAACAAATGCCGTTTTTTATTGTTCATTAATTGATCAGTTAAATATGTTAAAATGTACATATTGGTAATACATTTTTTTGTATATTTTTAATTAATTAATATTTATTAATATTAAATTTGTTCGCGTGTAATTGTTTATTTAGTTAATTATTTACTGTCATATATCGCTTTATTTATTTATTTATTTAAATATACATTTTTATTTTCAATTTCATTTATTTATTATTATTAACAAGCGTGAATTGTTTTAATAATAATATTCCAATATTTTTAAAGGTATTTTTTTAATATTATTTGCCGCATAATAGTTCTTAAAGTTCATTTCATGATCAAAATTGGATGTGCATGTAAATATTTTGTTATTGTATATTATTAAATATGAATTTTAATGACTCTCCGCTTTCTAGTTATTATATTTATTTACTATTTTCTGATTATTTAGTGCTTTTGATATTGCATTCAATTATTATCGCGAAATATTTATTTATTACTATTATTTACATATTAATGTTTATATATTATTCACTAAATATTGGTCGAATTCTATTATTATCAGAATCTTTTGATACTGTTTATTGTTATGTTTAGGAAATATTTATTTATTATTTATTAAATTATAATAATTTTAGTATTTGTTTCAATTATTCGTATTTATGTTAGCGACATTTTTATTTATGAATTAATAATTCATATATATATTATTATTATTATTCACTAGGTTTTGTTTTTATATTATATTCGCGAAATATTTAATTATTATTAATAAATAATTAATATTTATATATTATTATTACCTTTTACCTTTTATTTAAGTATTTATTATAAAATTTGGTAAAATTTTGGTGTAAATATTTAAATGAAGAAAATTATATTCGTGAGATTACAATTAATAATTTATTTATAAATTTTGTATTATTTAAAAAATTTCGTGCATTGCTTATCTGGAATTGTTTACTATTCATTGCAGATTGTTTTTATTATTATAAATGAATAAAATGATGAAGATTATTTACGTTGGAATTTTTGTTGTTGATTTTCATTTGCTGCAGTTTTTGTTTTCACATTTTTTGTTTAATTTTCCTTGTGCTTTCCTCGCCTTGTATTTATAGTTGAAATATTGATTTTCGATTTTTATTTATAGTTGATATATATATATTTGATTTAGTTTTGTTGTTGCCAAAAACCAGTTGTTTGCATTGACAGACTCCCATAATGCCGGTCTTGTAACAGATATAAAACAGCACAAGTTCGGATTTACGGGTTTCTGTTAATGGTCCATATGTAAGTATGCACCATTTCTCGATTCCGGATAACAATTTCGGTTTGATTTATCGGCGGATGCCTGTTGTCAACAATTTGCAATTGTTGTGAAAGCTGCAAAGAACAAAATGTTTACAATGATAAAGAAAAGGTTAAAGTATATTTGTTTTTACTGCGGGAATTTGATAAATATCCTTTGACCAAGCGTTGCCTCTCGCTTTGCAGCTGTAATTAGATAGACGAGCGAGTTTATTAGTATTTACATTTTATTTTTGTTATTGCTTTGCTTTCATTTAAGTTTATTTGAATGTTTTTGTTGACCATTGTCTGCTGTTTACCAAAGCTTATCCTCGAAAGATTTCGGTCTGCTGGCCACGTAAGCCGCTCGCTTGTTGCAAGCTCCAATTCAATTTGCAACAAAGACACTTGCATTATGCAAAAGGCTAATAAAAACAAAACACGCTAAAATCTGGAGTGAAAAATACACACACACTAGTCGCAAACTAACGGCCAAAAGTGTAGCTCTTATGGTCACATATAGCCCTATAGCTATATAGCCATATAGCTTTATGGCTATATATTAGCTGTATATATATTTATATGTGTATGTGTTAGCTTTAGTTTAGCTGCTTTTGGGCAACTTGGCGTTGCGCTTCCTGAACGGCAAATGCCTCGTAACAACAAAAAACTGAAACTGAATTGCGACTGAGCGTTGGCAGCGTCTGCTTGCAGCGACTGCGCTGCTGCAGCTGAGCGTGTGTGTGTGTGTGTGTGTGTGTGTGTGTGTCGCTGTATCTATCGTGTGTTTTGGCTATATGTTGCTCATGTTTGTTGTGCCTGCTGTTCCTTGTTGTTGTTGTTGTTGTTGCATACATATGTACAGCAGCGAGACGCTGCCGAAATGCTGCTGTGTCTTCACCCATTGGCCTGCCACATGATTCTTTGGTGGTAGCAGCAGCAGCAGCAGCAGCAGCAGCACACACACACACACACACACACACACACACACACACAATCGCACACAACGGTCGCGTTCTGTCTGCGCGCAGTTCGTTGGCTGTACCTATTTTAGCCAGGACCTGCCTCAACATATTCACACAGCCAACAACGACAACAACAGCAACAGCAGCAACAGCAGCAGCGTCAGCGACGGCGGCAGCGACGTCGCGACGTCACACACACACACACACATGTGCGCCAGCTCGTTTCCTTCCTACTTATGCTGCGCCGCTGACGTCGCGCGTAAAAACCGGTAACAGCTCTGCCCAGCGCAAAAACAGCACCGGCTACA